GAGGCGTCTATTCTGCGGTGAACAAAGATGGTTGTTGAGGGCCCTTGAAGGCGTCAAGCCGTGGGGATGTTGCGGATTCCGCACGGGAGAGCGTTCTACGAGGGTGGGGGTCCGCCACACTGAAGCTCTGTCCCCGAAGGTCGCAGTTGGTGCGGGTGGTAGTTGGTAACGCAGGCCATAGTCGAAGACCGCAGTTTGCCGGGGAGGGCATGTTGGTGTGAAGGATTGCCGATAGGTATGGGGGGCGATGGGCCATGGAGGAGCTTGTAGGCTAAGGAGAAGGATTTTGAATGATATCGGACTTGACCGGCAACCAGGATGAGGGTGGGAGTGATGTGCTGCCACGGCTGTGTATTGGGAGTACCCTAGCAGCACAGTTTTGGAACGATACTGGAGCCTGTCCAGGGTTTGTTGGAACCCCAAAACAGGAGACCGTTTGCATAGTCCAACGGAGGTGACAAACGCACTGCGACTAGGGTTTCGGCAAAACCGACTCCGGAGGAGTGACGGGTCGGGTAGTCTTGCAATGTCCTTCCCTCTGCCTTAGATGGAAAGAAGGCCGATTTGGTCACAGACTTGACGTGGGAGTGGAAGGAGAGGGTGGAGTCGAGGATGACACCCAGGTTGCGGGCTTCAGGAGATGGGGAGATGGAGCAGCCGTCAACCTCGAGGATGAAGTCACCAACCTTCTGGAGCAGCGCCTTGGGTGCCACAACCATGAGCTCTGTAAAGTAACTTTGCTTATGGAGTGACAGCTGCAGAACAGAAGCTGTTCCCCAGTTTTAAGGTTTTAAAACAATATTTGTACTTTCTTTCTTGCAGAGACAAAGAAAAGAATGTTGAAATGACTCTTATAGAATTGGGAGGGATGAAACCCTCTTTAATGGTCACACATGCAGAGCACACAGCACACATGTGTTCTCTGCTTTTAACCCATCCTAGTACCAGGAGTCTAGTACCAGGAGTCTAGTACTAGGAGCAGTGGGCAGCTATTGTACAGCGCCCGGGGAGCAATGGGAGTGAGGGGGGAAGGGGGATTTTCGGTGCCTTGCTCAAGGGCACCAAGGCAGGGCAGGAGGTGAACTGGGACCTCTCCAAGTAGAAGTCCACACTCGATATTTAGGTCTGGTCGGGGACTTGAACCGGCGACCCTACGGCTCACAGTCCAAGCCCCTACTGACTCAGCCACTGACAGACCATACATACAATATGTACAATGAATATACAGATACAGCCAGAAGATTGTTAGCCTAGCTTAGCATATTGACTTGAAACAGCTAGCCTGAATCTAGCACAAGGTAACCCAATTCAGGGGTTATCTGCTGTTTTGTTCTTTCCCGCCTAAAAGTGGTATCAATCTCCTGATATTAGAAAAAGAAAGAGAATATGCTTATTAAACAAAATAAGAAACTACTCCAAGTCTTAAAACATTTTCACGACATGTGATTAGTGGGTTAAATGCAATGAAATGACTTACTTGAGGTGTCCCTCCATTGGCACTTGTACAATGCCTTCTTCCTCTGCAATAATACTGTGCTCCTCCTGATGAAAGAAACACAAGAAGAAAAGGGGAACCCTGCATGAATAGAAGCTCCTTCCACTGCAGTGGTGGAAGGGTTAAGTCATCAGAATTGGCATTGGATCATCTGTGCTGTAGTCCAGGGCTATTCAATTAGTTTGGAATGGAGGCCGGTTGATGGAAAGGGGCCGGAAAAAAGATGGCTTGAAATATGATCAATCATATTAAGAGCTTCGGATACAGTAAATACTACAACAGCATAGTGGAGTGCATTACTGTTTAATTAAATCAAACAACATAGCCCCAAGGCCTTTATAGATCTAAATGGCAAGTTCAGAACTCAGTAGGCCTACATGTGAAGCTAATTTAAACATCAACATCATTTCATTTGATTTAATTAAGGTGAAATTATCTAATCATTCACGCAGAGATGCAATACATGACAGGAGTTGTCACTACAGTAGCTAGTAGGTGGGTTGGAAACCCGAGCCCCCCGAAGTTTTCAGGCAATGTCTTCCCCTCTATCTCTCAATTTAACACCCTCTCTGGAATAAAGGCACTGGCCCAAAAATCTTTTAAGTACAGTTACTTTTTAACATTATACTCAAAGGGCCAGTAAATATCACCCCAGAGCCGCCAATTGAATAGCCCTGCTGTAGTCTATCACTGCACCTCTTCGTCTGCGTCCTCTAGTTTCTTCTTCTTCCACTCGGGCATCAGATCATCCAGCCAGCTCAGCTCTCTCTTGGTGAACATGAGATCCAGCAGCTTCCGGATAAACACCAGAGCCAAGACCTGATCCACAGAAACACACGTGTCAATCAGACAGAAGTATACTATACATGCATACAGTGGAAAGTGACAAGGACCACCTATGTGCAATATGTGCTAGATGTGCAATATATATAGATGCCGTTAATAATTGTGTAATATATACCTGGCTGCTAAATCCTAAGAACTGTTACAGGATGTGTATTTTTATAATTATGTAACTTTTAAAAAAAAATTATATATATTTTTTATTATATCATAACTTAGTACTATTTTTTAAATGCATGTCACATATTTAACATATGTAACATTAAACTGCTCTGTGGGACTAATAAAGATATTCTGATTCTGATTCTGATTAAGTACAATTTTGTAGTAATTATACTTTACTTTTGCTTGTTATCGAGTGTTTTGACATGAATTTATTGGAACTTGCATGCATACAAAAACACACTGCTGTTACCATCATGGGGAAGACGATGGCCGCCTTGGAGGTCTTGATGACCCAGAGCAGGACCAAGCAGGTGAGCTGGACGATGGTGAAGAGGTGCACCTTCCTCAGAGGGACGTGCCGAAGGTAGATGAAGTCTGGCTGATGTTTGGCCGGCATGCCGAACAGCCTCAGACGGTCAAAGAACTGCACAGATACAAACAAGAAATCACCCTGCTTCTTTTCCCAATGACTTCTTCTGACAAAATACCAGCATGCAGTATTCCCAGCTCACCTGAATGCCTCTGAGGGAGGAAGCCCCCATGTAGAGGAAGACTCCGTACAGCACAGGCATGGGGATGAACTAGAGACAGAAGGATATTTCTCTTATACACTTGTTAAGATGGTGTTTAAATCAATTGTAGTAAACACAATGATATATTATGGAGCCAGGAGAGAGGGGCAATATTAAGAGTCAACTTTAGGAACGTTTTTATTTATATAAAGAGATTATTATCATAAACATATTCTTACCCCTAATTTTATGACATTTTCATCTTGATAGAAAATACAATATTAGTGCTGTTTTGTGTTGGTACTGTATTTGTCACTATGTAGTATATTTGTGTGTTTCTCCCCTGACCTTTAGCACAGAGGTCATGAAGACGGAGCAGCCCATCAGGGTGAAGATCATGAGGCCGGTGAAGCGCTGCTCTCGGATGCCCAGGAACTTGGGCTGCTCTCCGGGGGCCGAGCACTCCGACTCCAGCTTCAGGCTGTTCACGTGGGAGATGGAGAGCACGGTGGCTGCCACGAACCACGGCAGGCCCATCACCGAGCACACCCCCAGCATCACCCCCACCACAAACAGGTCCAGGTGGTAGCCACAGCCTTTCTGCACGGACGGGACAAGGACAGTTGGGTTCAGATTTAGCAGAGGTCATAATAACCAATGAAGCTCTCTAAAGTCTGTTATAGTTTTGAAATACCTTTAGTTTGTGCTCCTTCCTGTTGATGATGACGGCTGTGATCTGCTGGTCCATGAAAATGAGGATGGTGCAGAGGAGAGCAGGGAGGAAGGTGATGATGGTGGTCCACCAGGGGTTGGGCCCCACAGGGTTTATCAACCAGCCACGATCATCCCTGGTGGGCTGGAGAGAGGGAAAGGTATGTGATTAAATGTAGAGACTATTTGTTGTTCTACAAGCCTCCTGAGATACATTTTGGATCTCCTACAAAACAAGTTACATTGTTTTCGTGCCTTTTTATATTCCAGATCTAAAGAAGGAGATATCAATGCATACACAAGCTGTCATTTGGACTTACTTTGAACTTGCTGGGGACCTGTAATTTAGGTGAGGGGATCCCCAGGGCGTAATCTACAAGAACCATAGTCAGGATGGTGAGGAACACAGCAAAGTCACTGATGATGGCGCGCACCTGCAGGGAACAGAGAGGCACAGTCTTCACACAAAGCCCGTGCTACACACACATATTGTAAAGAATACTCAGGAGCAAAACAAGAAGCCAATAGCCAGAACACGGCACTTCTGTTCTGATAAACCCAATGATTTGTTTTGTTCATTTTTATTTCTCTATTGTCAGAATGAATACAAAGTTTAGCCCAATGCTAGTTCCAACTTGTTTTGGTCATTTAAAGGGGCCCTATCATGACATGTTTACACGCTTTAATGTTCAAACAAGTGTTGTGTCTATATACTGTACTTCTTGGTCTGCTTCAATGCCTGACTAAGAATATTGTTTATAAAGTATTGAACATTGCTCTGTTCAATTAAATGCACTGGGAGCCAAAAAGCATTAAGCAGTGGTGTTGCAGACGACAGCATATATTCATCACCACAAGGCGGCGCCTGCATACTGTGGATTGGTTTGCAGAGATCACGCCACACATTGGCTCATGAGTGTCATGAATCATAGATATTGCACACATAGAAATGCCACACAGACTGCAGGATTTTTGCTGTGGAAAAATACAACCAATAGATGGCAGCATTATCTAAAATGACAGCGGGCAAGAAACCCAATTTCAGAGTAATACCAGGGAAAAGTTAATGGAGGAGTGCAACAAATGTAAAAGCAGGTCATACACTTGAGGAGAGACCGTCCTCTTAAAGATGTAATGTGTCTGTGTATTTATGAATCACTCAGAGAAATGTAGTGTGCTGCGTACCTTGGTGGGGAAGTAACGGCTCGTCTTGAACTCCTTGAGGAATGCGGCCATGAGGACGGTGGAGAAGAACAGGACCACGCACCAGAAGAGGACGTCCGGGACGTAGGGGCCATGGGGTCCGCAGGCGGTACCCTCAAACTCCCCGTGAAACATCTCGCACTCCTACTGGCCACAGAGGAGATGGTGATGATGATGATGATGATGATGATGATGATGATGATGATGATGATGATGATGATGGTGGGGATAATAATCAGCGTTAATGAGGCCAATTAAAATGACAGGGGAGATAATGAGCGATGATGGTGTCAGTGGTGAATTAGTGAACAACTTCCAGTAATAGTTTATTAATTGTTCTGCTTTAAANCGTCCGGGACGTAGGGGCCATGGGGTCCGCAGGCGGTACCCTCAAACTCCCCGTGAAACATCTCGCACTCCTACTGGCCACAGAGGAGATGGTGATGATGATGATGATGATGGTGGGGATAATAATCAGCGTTAATGAGGCCAATTAAACTGACAGGGGAGATAATGGGCGATGATGGTGTCAGTGGTGAATTAGTGAACAACTTCCAGTAATAGTTTATTAATTGTTCTGCTTTAAATGTCCGTATAGTACATGACTCACCCATTTGCATTCAATCCCAACAGCCTTTAAAAACATTTGCTCCACATCTACAAGCGTGTGTAGGAGTGACGCAGCATTACGCCACCGGCACGAATCTACTCTTCACAGTTTATATCCATGTCCATTCTGCACGTCTAGATGTGCACTGTGAAATCCTTCCCACATGTTTTTAATCCTCACCTAGACTTCTGACGCTTCCTGATGAAGCTAAGTGTGGGAGACGCGACACTGTGCCAAAGACTGGCAGTTTTTATGTTAGTGTGTTAATCAAAGGCTGGGAAAGGAAGTGTTATCAGATGGGATATTTCTGTCTGTGTTGGTGTTTTTTCTCCCCTCCACTCGAGATCACACTTTGACTGCTCTTTGTTAACAGCAGACAGAAACAGATCATGTGTCTCGGAGTGAAATGTAGTATCTAAAAGACAGGGGGGGCTGGTCCTGTGTCTCGTGGGCCCATTAAGTAATGAATGCATTATATATGTGCAGTTGTTTTGATATTATTTTCTCCAAATGTCAAGGGTTCCTTACCTTGACCTCCAGCATGGTCCAGTTGACCTGCGAGACTGTGATGTTTTTCTCTTCCCAGAACTGCAGAGTGTCATTGCTGGGGTTTATGGGCTCCACACACGCACACCTATGGAGGATATTTGAGAGGACAAGGTGGATATTATAATCTGAAATTTAAAAAAAATGAATCGTAAAGACAAAAAACAACAAACAAAAGAAACAAGCAAATTCAAACTAGGTTCTTTTAGAGAAAGGGGACATCATTGAGGACCATGGGACAGTTTGGGACACGCATCTGATATAAGAATCATTCTGGATTCTAAGGGTGATATCGGTATGAATTTGATACGCCCTTTCCCCTCTTTTCTTTTTAATTATGATCCTGTGAACGCATCCTTCCAAGAACAGTGACCAAGCAGGACATTCCTCAGCTGAGAAACAACCCTGTCATTCTTCTCTGGAGGATCATTTATGATTACAATAAACCCAAAAAGTGGTTTGGGCATTACTGGGCTGATATGTCTCGTCACTTTCAATGGCTTAGGTTTGGTCTTTAGCTGGGAAATGGCCTGGCTCTGATCACCACCAACATTTCAGGGTCACTTTAAGAAAGCAATCCACAGACCTGCAGTAACAGGGATTATTTGATCAAGCCCAAGGCACTAAAAAAAACCTAATGAGCTATAGATACAATTAGAGAACATTCATACATACTAGGGCTGCTCAATTAATCGTATATTTTTTTTTTGGTTTATCAGTTGAATTATACTTAAAGTTCAGGGTAATCAAGTGTTAAAAACATACTGTACAAAAAAATGTTTCAATAAATTGATGTTTTCAAAGTAAATGGATAGTCGTTTTTAATAATCGTGATATCAATTATTGACCCAAATGATCGAGATTATGATTTTTGCCATAATCGAGCAGCCCTAATACATACTGACATGTGTTTTCCTCTGCTGTGTTAGTTATCTGTAATCCGTATCACTGACATTTATAATTGTTTTAAATCATTTAAAGCTATAATACCTACATAATCTATAAAATAATGGACGGATAAATCAAAAGGCCGAATGGAAACAGATCATTTGATGCCCTCTTCAAAACACTTCTGACATGTTATTTTGCTGGCGTTTTACAAAAGTAAAAAGGTCAGCATCCCCTGCTGTCCACTTCACCAGAATAGAGAAGCACAGAAGGAGCTCTTGGCCTAACATCACCACAAGCCAGCTTATGTGTTGGGATAATGCATGATGCTCCTGACACACTCTCAACATGGGATTTATTCACCATCAAGCAAAACCCATTACAGAGAAACTGAACAACACAACTACACCATCTGTCGTGATGATGCTGCAAAACACTTTCATGTGCTCCGGGTCAATGTGCATGCAACGATGACAGCATCATTCCAGCTTCAAGGGGTCGGACTGGATAATAAAAACTTTGTTGATCTTTTTCCAAATGATCTGCACCATCAAGAAAAGCAGCCCTTTCAAAACAGAACTTACGAGTACTGAGTGAGAGTCTGCAGGTTGTTGTGTTTATTGATGGGGTAATGCGTCCCCAGGTGGAGCAGCTTCTCCAGAGCCTCGTAGATGAAGATGATGCAGATCAGTGCAGCAAAAGCTTCCTCAGTGAAGCGAGTGATGTAGCAGACGAGCGAGCTGGCATCCGTGGCCACCAGCAGCAGACAGAAGAAGGCTGTCCACAGGCCAATACAGGCCCTCAGGGAGAGGTAGGAGAGGCCATACTCACTGAGACAGACGGACAGAAACACACAGTGAGTGAAGGCACAAGCTATTAGATATGGCATCTTAACTCAAGCAGAAAAGCAAACACAGAAGGATTCTACTTTTAAACAAACACAATTTGCACTGAAAAGGGAAAATGAAGATGACATACGCGCAGAACTTGAAGAGGATTTTCTCAAAGACAAGCACAGGCCCAGTGCTGCCCAGGATGGTGAGCGGCTGCCCCGCGAAAATAGAGTAGGCGATTCCAGTCATGGAAGCCCCAAACAGGGACTCGATAGCACTCTGGGAAAACAGGAAATAATAGACTGATTCAACTGCTTTACATTGTTACTTCACGGAGAAAAACATAGTGCCTAAAGAGCGCAGAGCTTTGAGCAAAATGTTAACGCTAGAATGGCTTTGTCAACTTGTGTGATAAACCCATCACTCAGAGATACACTGTATGAGTTAGTTGTAGGAGAGGATCAGTTAATATCTGGATTTAAAATGCAACTATTATTCTCTTTGTGTTTAATGCTCAATTTGTTAATTAAATAATAGAACTATTCTGTTTTGTTTTTTTAACCATAAGTATAATTAACAGGACTTTTTTAGTCAAACAAAATGTTACAATTATTTTCAAGAATGTGAAAACAAGCTGTGAAAGGGTTCAAGTTCTAAGAGAAAAATAATCAATGAAGATGTTGTTTCTTACCACCCGTCCCTCTGTGGCCTCCCCCAGGAGTCCTCCAAAGGTGATGACGGGTGACATGCAGGCGCAGTAGAGAAAGAGGAAGGAGGCCAGACACTGCAGGCTGATGGCATCTTTGAAGTCGGAAAGGTAATGAGGGGCCTTCCGTTTAATGTCCAAGAACAACCCTCCAAAAAGCCTGTGGTGGAACAGGGAAGTCATGAAATAACCGCTCGTAATCAAACATAAAATCAACACAATGCAAAACTGAATGATACATAGTGTTTTTGCTGCAATGGGACATTTTTCTCACTATTTTGGGGGTTTTGGAATAAGGAGGTCATCTGCTTGTATTGCTTCTTTTGGAAATGAACTGTGTGAAGATAGAATAGGACCTTCTATTTGGTGTGCCAGGCCCCCTCTGACCTACATTTACAATGCTGATAACCTGTGACTCATGCATCTATCTTTAAAAGACTCTCAACCACACTGAGTAGGCTCTCGTGCTGCAGCGAGCCGGGACCGTGTTAAGAAGCAGGAGGCGGTTGCCATGGAAACAGTGGGTGGGACAGTTTGCTTGTTCCAGTCTGAGGCAGTAGAGCAATGTCCCGGGAGGGATTTGGTGGGGTTTGATAGCCGAGAATGAGCTTCCGGACAATGTTAACTGGAGTAAGAGCCTGTAATGCACCGTACCACAGCCCAGCAGCACATCACTCACTCATGTGCTATTAAACTACAAAGATATACACTTATCGTCTCACACGTCATTTTATTGATCCAAGTTGAAGGTCAAAAATCTCCTGCCTGTCATTAGATGATTTCTAGGTAATGACAACATGATTTTTTTTCATCTGTAAAACCTTTATTTAAATCTTAAAAGGTCTTTGTTGCATTAAAGCATGAGGAATGATAATGCACCAGTAGAGTAGTCTGCCTCTAAGAGGGCTATATTTATAGTTTGGGGACAGGGAGGCAGCTATCAGGCGACAGGAAGACGGGGGGGGGGAAGAGGAGCTTCAAGAGCTCGAGGCTGTCCAATCACAATGTCTCTATCTAACACTTACCTCCCAGTGCGCTGCAGCTCAGGCCCACCGTGTCCTCCGTGGTCCTCCGACTCTCCAAGATCTGTCACTCCGTTGGGAAGAGGGGGAATCTTTCGCTTTTCCTGCATGGTTAGGATCACTGTCAGTCAACTGTCTGTGACTGGATCGTAGGAACAATAATAGTCTTACATTTGTTGCCACCAGATGATCTCTTATTCATAAATGTAGCTGTTTCTGATACAGAGTTCATCAGCACAACAATCGAATTGCACAGAGAGGAAAAGAAAAACTACTTTTTCATCCCCAAGCAGCTTTCTGTTAGGTAGCTCTTCCAAACAAGATGGCGAATTTTCAAAGTCGGTAAAATTAACAAATGTAGGAAAATTGTGTGTGAGAGGATTGAGAGCAGAACCCTGGGGAGCGGCATCAAAGCACAGAGTACAACGCAGTAGATAATAGGGTGAACGCAGATGTTTAAATAGTTCTCAGAAGGCAGTGCGTCGCAAAGGGGACTCGGGCACATCATGACATAACAGTGGTATATAACTCTAATTGTTTTGCTGCAGATGATTCCTTCAATTTGAAAACATTCATCCTATTTACCTTATGTTACGTCCATAAAGGTGTGCAACAAATGGTTTGTTATGTACTGTCATTGGTTTACCTGAGAGGGCACGTTTTTGGGAGGTTCTATTCTGATGGAGGGGTCCCACTCTCCAGGAGGTAACACTGTCACCTGGTCCAGAAACTCATCGATGCCTGCCACCAGGTCATTCCTGTCTTTGGCCTTGTAAGCAACATCATGGAAAATCTGTGGAGCAAATGAAGGGAGTTCATTTCTTCAGTATATTTACAGAAAGTCCATATCTCCACAACAAAACAACATGAAATATTCAGAATATACTGCATTGTACTGTATGAGGTAGGCTGACTTGGATACACGTCTATTTTCAAACATCGCACCGGACGGTTGTAAAAGGAAAAAAAAATAGCAACATCTGGCTCGTATGATGGTCACTGTGGGAAATCCTGTCGCTGTTTGCATGTCACACTCTGCTGATCCCTTAAGGATTTCCCTGCTTCTAACAGAGGTCAAAGATCAGGTCACTAGAGCTGGTAAGGGGACTTTTGATTCATAGGACTGTTTCTCTACTACTCAAACTGCCTTAATGCCATTTATAACATTCAAAAAATAAACTATTCATTTATGTTTACAGATTAATTTATTTGATAGTGAAAAAACCTATTTTACAAGACAGCTTGGCAGGGATCCAAAATCACTAATACTAAAAATGCTGTCTATTTAAATGTTTATGGGGCACCAAGACAAGTGTCTCCTCAGCCCTAAAGGCTCAAGTAAGTTGGATTGTTGTTATTGTACATATGTTTACATGGTTTTATTAAAAAGTGTTGTACTTAGGCCTCACCTCGTCAGTCATGAGTGTAGCAATAGACCGGCCAATTTCATGATACTGTGGACCTTTTCCCAAAGGGCCTAGCAGGATGAAAAGAAACCTGTGCAACACAAAGGACAACAGGTTTGAGTAAAAGTCAAATCCTTTTCTGAGGAAGCATTCAGGGGATTATCAGCTCATCTATCCAGAAGCGATACAGAATACAGAGAGAAGTGCTTTTCCCATCAGTAAGCGTAAAACCTTGTAGTGATGGGAACCTCAGCCAGGCCGTTGAGCAGCACAGCAGGGGACAGGCGGACAAAGGCCACCACGGGGCGCTCTAAGAATTCCAGCTCCCCCACTAGGACGTTAGACGCCTCAGCACCGGGAGGGATCTTCTTCATGAAGTGGAGGTCAATCTGTGAGACGGAAAGAAAACAATAACAGTATCCTAAGACCAATATTTTGTGCTGAATACAATTCCGAAATACAACCTGGATCTGACCCCAAACAACAAAAGAAAACAAGCTTTACTCCTGTTAAATTCCTTTCACCTGTAACCCAATCGGTTAAATATACAGGACTAGTTATGTGCTCAGATATCAGTGCCCGTAGATAAACAGCAGGATCAGCGGTGGGTCTGGGAGCTCACCTTGCTGAAGTCCACAGCACTGTTTTCTCTGCTCACGTCCTGTTTGCCATCATTGTTAGTCGACTGGGACTGAGGTGAGACTGTTTGGCCTGTGAGGAAGAGCACCAAAGCAACATCATGTCAATTTTCACGGAGGTGCAGCCTATCAAAATACTTCTTTCCCACACAAAGGTCCCCAGTGAGTGAGGTACAGTTACATTCTCTGAACAATATGATACAACAGTGGACCCTTTTGTTTTGGGAGCTGGACCTTGATTGATGAAAAGGTTCAGCCCCAGTGACAAAAGATAATATTGTACATGGTTTCAGAGTGTACCTGGTGAGTTAGCTTAATATGAGTCTGATGAGTGCTCACTGGCGCAGTGGATAGTGATTATAGCTAAACCTTAGGCTTATCTTTCAAGGTTACTAAACTAAATAAGGTACAATCTTTAACTTCCGATTTTGAATGTGTGTATCAACAAAAAGGTTTTATTTAAAAAGTCAAAGATTGCTCCTTTAAAATAGTGTGAAGTGAATGCACCAGTTACAGCTGTTTGAGCAAATCCCAGCACTTGTGAAACATGTGGTTTGCTCAAACCGTCACCTGTGTCAGCTAGGAGTGATGCTACTGCCACTAAAGGAATTGTGCAACACTAAAGGCATATTCCAAAAACACTTTCCTACAGAGATTTAGTCTGGAAGATTGATACAACTTTCATAGCTGTTGGTTTTATAATGAGACTACAGTACAGCCAGCAGCTGGTTAGCTCAACTAACCTGGATGGCTGGGAGTGGAAACAAAATAGAGATGACATAGTATGACAAACTATTTGCAAGAAAGTGAATAAACATATTTCCACACACTGTTAACTGTTTCTTTAAATGTCAATCCCAAAGGCAGCAAAATAAAGGTTATAAGCTATTTCTTGTTTTTAAAGTCACAACATGGATTTTAAGCAAGGAGCTAACACTATTAGTAATTAGTCACTGTTATGAGTGGAGAGCGTGAGTCACACATCTCTTATGGTTTTAGTCATTAAACATTCACAATGACAGGAAGTGGAGAGCATTATCATGAAAACTGGCACGCTGCACATGCCCCTTTTTTCTTTGGAAGAACAAAAAACTGTGTGCATTTGTGTGCTTTTATTCTTATTGCTTCACTTTTAAGTTCCAAAAATAGAATTGAAGGACCGTGTTTCCTCTCTTTTCTTCACTGCATCCCCATTTCTAACCTCTCACGATGATGCTCTCCACTTTAATGTGTACTTGTTTATTCTATTGGTAGTATAGCTAACTAAGCTTTAGTGTTAAGCATGAGCTTTGGTTGCCTGTGCAGATTTCCTGCTCTGTGTCTTCATGTGCGATGGGACAGTAGCCTTGTGCAACGGCCTGAAGAACACTAAGGCGTTTGTTGTTGGGATTGCCAAAGGGCGTGTCTGGGGTCATGTTGCCATGGCTGCTGGAGGAACTCAAATGTGATGGAGGGGAGGACAGACATGACACGCAACACATACACCCTGGCCGTGCCAAACAGGAAAAGGCCTTTCTTGGTGGAGTAATATCGGGGAATTCAAGCATACGATTGGGAGATGTTACCGTTTCATAATAGAGGCCATTCACTGCTTGAATGAATGACACACGGGCACACACATGCAAATACAGCAGAGGACAACACACACACACACACACACACACACATGGAGAAACACACAAGAGGAGAAAATGAGATCAAACAGCAATAAAAGTCACAAATGAACAAAAATTGAAAAAGCATGGAAAGGATTACAACATTATGCATACAGAAATACTGTATGTTTTTACATACATCAACATATATGTTGGGAAAAGCTGAGAATATAACAGGGTGATGAAAAGACTGCAGTGTGTGTGCTCACCATTCTTGTCCATGGAATGAGGCTCAGATTGCTTCTTGCCGATATCAGCGAAGGAGCGTACGATGGGTATGCGGTTGGCCAGTTTCTTGTGGTTTTGGTGGTGGTGCTGTTTGAGCAGAGCCTCGCGGATCCTCCTCCTGGCTTCTGGACCTACAGGACCTGACAGCTCGTGCTGATCCAGAACCATATCTGAAAGGTTAAAAGTATACACATGTGGGTTTCCACATTAATCTTTAAACAGTTCATTTCAAATTCACAAAGTCTAATGGAGTGTGCACCTACTACGCTGATTATTCCCACTAAAACCCACTCAGACCCACTGAAGCTGATAACATCGTCACAAACTCGGCTATGTTCACCAGATCTATTCAGCAGCACAGTTTTTCCCACAATCAGATTAACACACTTTGCTGCCCTCAAAAATGAAAACACTGTCTTTGTGAACTTCCGTTTACTCGTTATAATGCTCTGCTGCCAAAAGTAAGTAGAGAGAAGGCAGTTTATAGTTTTAACCACTGAGCTACACAATACCATGGAACATTTTCAATTATTGTAAGTGTTCACCTGCGATCTCCTCCAGCGAGTTGGCCCTCATGTCCAGCATCACGGTGCCGTTCATGATGCAGCTACGAAGCTCAAAAAGGCTGTGTAGAGACAGAGTGGCTACGTAGGGTTTACTCCACCGCTCACCACCGTCCTCAACATCCTCCTCAAACTTGAGCCACCTGCACACATCACATATAAATAAATCATAAGTTTATATTTGATAGAAGTAAAAAAAAAAGTATCAGTTCCAAACACTATAATGAGCCTTTTGATTGACATTGTAGAGAATGTGTATAGAGTATGCTTTGATATTAAGTTTGGACATCCTGGGAGGAATGGTTATATACTGTAACAACAGCTTGGTGAAAAAAGTTGCAGTCAGAAGTAAACAAGATCAAACTCCCAGGTGCAACAGAGGAGAATCGGCACATCTGGCCAGCTGTAGCCCATGGGGCCGACTGCAGTGGTGTACCTGGCTGTCTCTTTCCATTCTGCGTCCTCACCCTCCCTGAGGCAGATTTCGTCTAGCTCCGTAAACAGGGCATGAGGAATGTGTTCCTCATCGGCATCCTCTGTCCCCAACAGGAACTGCACCCTCTGAGCTGGTGTGTCTGCTATAGTAAATGGGAAAGTGTGTGGAGACAGATAAAGGAGCGGTCGAAGGCGACAGGACAGATATGAAACAGGAAAATAGAACATGATGTGCATTTGGTGGAACTTGTTCGGAGTTTACTTTAGTCCATTTTAAGACCTACTGTGAGACGGAGATTCTCTTCCATCATCAGTTGTAGAGTCCCTCTCCTTGGACCTCTTCCTGTGTTTGTGTCCATGGTGACGGTGACGTCGGTGCGACCTCCTGCCCAGAGGAACGTGAACCCCGATGTAGAGAGTGCGGTGACCTGGAGAAACATGCACCAGACAATGTGAGACTCTACGGTCTGTCCTTCAAACTCAAGACTAGTTTGATGTTTCCCGTCTTTTTACAATGTCATAGATTCATTCTTTGACGTTTTTTAAGACCCATACAGAATCAGTGAAGTAGCCAACAATGGGGGGGGCATTTTCACCTTGACTCAGCAACAGCATAGTTGCACACCAGAGTAGCAAGATTCAGATTTTACTGAAGACTTTGTGAGAGGAGGGTTGACCAACAAGACGAGGCCAGATCTTTTGCAAAATTGGCAATATTTCAGATTCAAACCCATTGCTAATAGGGAACCGGATGAATGAGGTCATTTGTAAATGGTATGAAGCCATGCGGGCGACAGAACAAAACGGGTCACAGACGGAATGCGGTTACTCAGTACCTCGAAGCAAACCAAAATGTAGGCATTGTAATAAATGTTGGGAAACTCAGCAAAAGGTAATAGCACGCCAACTGCTTTCTCCGGGCCCTCCTGGGCTTGAATAGAACCATTGTCCTCTTTAAGGAGGCTGAAATGGATCTTGTAATTTGAGGACTTTTACAGATTTTAATTTTAAATCAATACAGAGCAGATAATGAGACTGGGACTGTGGAAGGATATTGTACCGTGTGAGCACAAGGGCCTTTCTCTGTGCGTGCACACATAGATAATGCGAGCTGACTTCCTCTTCACCTTTATTGCGGTCAAGCTGCCCCGCTGCTGCTTGTTCCCGCCGGCCCTCGTCTCAGTGGCCGGACACAGACAGGACTATTGAACGCCTCGTTCTCCTGCACCATATGAGATGCCTCTGCCCCTGGCGTAATGTGACACCAAGGGCAGTTTGATGCTTGACAGCTACATCAGAGGATTATTAATTAGCTCCCGGCTTTACCATCATTTTACAAGGAAGAAACCAAAATGACAAGGAAGTCTATAATTAACTTTGATCTCTTTTTAATCCATCTTCACTGCTAAGGTCCAGGCAGCTCAATCATGTTACATCGAGTTATACAGATATTCTCTGATTTATTATTCTGTAATATAATGAAAGGTTTAATATTCACATGTGACAGGGGACATGTGAATATCCCTCAATTAGTTTGAGTTTTACAGAACTAAGACACACTTGTATTGCTTTTTTATAGTTGAGTTTTGCTTGTTTGTTTTGGTAAAAGAAAAACTCTGACATTATGGTGTCCTGTTCACTTCTAAAAACTAAACTCAAATCCCTTGAACATAATCTTATTTACACAAACATTAGGGAACCCTCTCAAATTTAAATCCTAGCTCAAGTAAAGCCATTTGTGGAGGGTGTGCGGCTTGTGCAGGTTTTAGAAATAAATGAGCTTATTCTGTTTATTATTGTGACTTATTTTGTATATTTTCATTTATTATGAGGAGGTAAAATCCCACATGAATTCCTTAAACTGTTCTTGGAGACAAACCCCATCATAGGGCAGTAATCAGATGAATGCACAGACATAACGTGAATCACCTGAGAGCACTCTGGCATCACAGCGATTGAAAGGAGACTCACTCGTCTTTCATCAGTAGGATTCCAGGACAGAGGTTAAGTGAGGTCTCACAGAACGTAGCGGTAAAACTAACCGTGTGTTAAAATGTATTTGCAGTTTGAAAGTGTATTTTACTCAGTCTACTGGAGACGCATTCAGGCAGAGCAGATTGCTGTTAGCAGTGTTTAAATAATGTATGTCGGAAGTAGAGGTAAAACTGACTTTGCACATGAAGCAAGTTTCACCGTAAAGCAGATTCCAGCAGACAGGAAGTAGCAGGTATGTGAGGGAAACGGAGCACTAGAGCTCATGACTTATAAATAGCTCGCCTCCTCCAGGCCTGAACCACTACTGATGTCACACAATGTTTTCTCTTTTTTTCCGTCAGTCAAGCCTTGCATTCATGCAGCGGTGTGTGACGCGCTGCTATTCCATGTCTTTAAGTCTTTGTGTGTATTCATGAATACACTGCTTTCAGGGCCACAGAATACATCCGTTCTGATTGGCTGGGCTTTCTCCTCACACGACTGGGTCTAGATACGCGGCTCTGACATTGCAGAACAATCATTGCTCTAAATGAATCCTCATAGTTACAGTTACTGGGCTATGCTTGTTCCGTTTGATTTGTTGAGGACTCATTTTAGCAGCAGATTAATCCATATGTGTTGCTCTAGCGAGTATTTGGGGCATCAGGACGGTTAATGTTGTATTGAGTGAAAATGAACAACATTCTGTATGTGTAAAATAACGGATGAAAATGTTGCCCAATTTCATGTTCCTTTTTTATTTTCAATAAAAATGTAAAGTTGTTTTTGTTCTTGATGTCCTGCTTACCTCTTACTTTTATCCCGAATATAAGGGTGTATCAGAATGAGTGTTGAAGGGGCTGAAAGGGTCTGAGTGTGTGAGCGAGATCACTTCAGAGGAGCTGCTCTCCTGCTGACGCAGAGTCAGCGTTACCACAGCAGCAGATAGAGGGATAGTCATTATGGAAACCATCATTCGAGGATGAGGAGTCCTTGAGATGAAAGCCCATCTCGCCGACACCGTCAGAATCAAAGACTGACAGCTTTGCCGGCTTCCTATGAGGACGTTGCCTGGCAACAAAAATACAGTGGATACTGACGGGGGAACCAAATCTCTCTATAATAGATGTTTTATTCCCTCCTTTCTACCGCTTGACTTACACAAAAATGTGTGATCTAATTCGTACAAATAAAATGTTCCCCTCTTATACAAAGTTACACATATATAAATCACCTTACTTTATCATCTAGAGTTTTTTTCTAGTGAAAAATAAGTAAGTGTTCCCACTTTTCCTAAGCTCACCTTGCCTATATTTGCTCTCTTTGTGATTCCCTGTTTCCCAAAGTACCTTTCAAAAAACCTTTTTTAGCACGTTGGGTCAATTCAGAATGCTGTTGGTGTAGAAATCTGTCTCTTTTAGGACGGATGAAATGCTGATGCAAACACACAAAGAGACAAAAGCCCGCACACTTTCATCAAAACCTCATTTCCATTTAGTGATTTGGACAGGTAGACAGACAAGTTTCCCGCCATCAGTATCTCGGCTGTCAGTAATTTTGGATATGTTTACTGCTATTGCTTGACTACAATTATATTGTAATGTTCTATCAATTTACATAAATAAAAATACACCTCCAAACGACGACAGATACTCACACTAAAGCTTTTTTGTAAGTGTTATAGTGATGTGTTTCATTGAAGGGGCACTCTATTATGAGTCCCCTTACAATACAGGATTCCCTCGGGTGCCTATTTTCTATTATCTTCTCCAAAAAGATGTATAATTAATTGTGTAATGTTAATATTAATGATCACTTATGGTGTTACCTTCGAGTTCTTCCTTCTCAAAGTTGGTGTTGAGCATGGAGCGCGTGCCCCCACGGTCCACCACTGCCTCCTCATCAGCTCTCTGGAAAAAGAGACACAAACAAAATAGGTGTGAACACTTTGCGTGTAACGGCCACATCACTTAGAGTTAATAATGAATATAAGCACATTCCCTAATATTGGTATCTTCACAGGAGATCCCTGTGTAAGGAGCATTTGTCCACACTGAAGTAAAATCTATATTTCATTAATGCTATTACATAAGACCACCCCCCCACTCCCACACACACACGCCGCGCCTCGTGATAAGATGATACACACAGCTCGGCATCATAACTTCAAGCAACTTTCACCATGGCAACAAAAGGCACCCAATTGCAATATAGAAAAAGCCAAATTGCCAGATTACACTGTGTTTGTGTCATGGCTAACAAAGGATGCATCACTGTGCGTAAGCATTAAATGGTGTGAATCTCCACCACCCACGCCTCTGGCAGGGGAGATGTCTAAGGAAGTGGAGCAGCAGATGCTGGAGTACAGGCTGGTGGCTGGTGCAAATGGAGGCATACTGCTTTTCTTACTCCACGCTATAGATAGCACTGACCTTGAGAAATGAATGATTTGATTGGCTGATGAATCCGTCGAAGCGAGCAAACGCGAGCAAAGCGAAGCGACGGAACCACAATGCAGTTCAGCAAAGCGTGACTTCACCCCATTCAAAGTGAATGGGCAGAAGCGTTGAAGCTTCAACGCACGCTGCCGCGTGGACACTGCGGAAGAGAGTTTGCCCAAGCCTGGCATTTCCTTTGCATGTAAAAATCAGAGTACTGTACTGAAAAAATATTACTTTTCTTCCATTTTACACCCCTATTGTCTGTGAAGCCTGACACGATCTACTACTGACAATAAGACATAATGCGGTACAGAGGGCCTTGATGTAAAACATCTACGAATGTAGAATCAGCGAGCCTTCGTTCATTTTTTTCTGATGAGATCATGACAAAGCACTAAGCTCAACTAAGCTTTTTGATCATCAGACACAAGCTTAAACATATACACCAGATCGAGACTTCACACAATTAGTGACATTACTTCACACAATTAGTGACATTACTTCACACAATTAGTGACATTACATAACATGTTAAAGGCACCCCCAACTTTATCAGTGTTTCCCATGCATTGATTTCTGTAGGGCAGCCTGACAGACAACGTACATTGATCACCAACTATTGATTTTCCATGGTTTCACTATTTTAAATGGGTCAAATATTTTTTTTATTGTAGAGCTGTGAATGCTCTCCTTGCAATCTAAATAAAAATGTGATTGAGGGATGATCGTTGTTGGCTTCCCCCACATACACACGGATGGCCTAGTTCCTGAATGGAATCAATATGGAGTTCAAAAATACTGAACATCATGAACACTTCTGCATACATGTGTCCTATATATGCATTCAATCTGACTCTGATAAGTTAGTCTGATAAATGTGTTTGAAACAAGGCTTGATCTTCAAATAAGCGATTAGCAATCATGTAATGAGCAGGAAAACGTTGGAATATAGCAGGGTTATCGAAGTAACCGTGCTGTATTGAAATAAATTCACACATGGCTGCTTTAGTAAGTCATGCACATGAACACAATCCATCTGTCGGAAACTGTATAACACATGATCAATATCCGTTCTGAACATAAAACTAGACTTACTAGCCCTAGCATGTTCACAGCTTGCTAATTCCTTAGTCATTAGCTCATTGTTAAAAGAACAAGTATACAGAAATGTTATTGGTCAAATAAAATAATCATATTCTTTCAGTCTAAATTTTGCATCTGCAGTTATTTGCTACTGTAAAAAAGAATATTATAGAAATATAAAAAATCCTGCTTTTCAAATGGACCTTCTACAGCGTGAGTGATATAGCAAATATTGCCAAAACATGAGACATGTTGCATTCTGTGTTGTGACAAGCTAAAGTTGGCTGATGCTGGCCATCAATCTCTGATCCTGAGAGATTAAGCAAGAACACTGGAACGCTGTCACAAACAGACACACACTCACACACACAGACACACACAGGCAGACAAACACACGCCCCCGCACACGAACGACCATGTGAGAAAAGAAGCCAAAGCATCGGAGGAGTGTGTGGACAGATGCTGACATGGTGGGCTTACTGTAAAGAGACATTAACAGACTCTGATGGAGCCCCTCCCCACACACACTCACACACACACACACACACACACACACACACACACACACACACACACACACACACACACACACACTGAGACCCAGATGAGAATTCATTATCAAGTCCCTGTAGATAGACATGCCTAGATAGATTTCTCCTGGCAGATGGTTAATGGTCATCTGAAATACTGACATTTTCTAATGTGGTAATTCTGTCATCGCCCATGCATCTGCAGTACAATTCCCTCTGAATCAATCCTTTGTGTCTACTGTGAGAGGAATCATAGACAATCAGTATGCCAGGGTGGCCAAAATAACAAATTCATTTCCTAAAAACTTTTTGTTTGTACTTATGGAAGTCACAAAAACAGAGATGTTATCGGTTGTGAAAGCGTGGGAGAGTAGCAGGGGGCTGGCCCTGCAGCTCCCCAGGGAAACTCTCAGTCTCAGTTACACTCCCTGTCCCAGACCCATGAGAACTACACATACACACACATCTATATATGCAGCTAGTATGCAAAATAAAGCTCCATGATGATCTGAATAGCCCTGAGAGGCAAGAGAAAAAAATGTATTCTCCCCACTGTGAGTTATGAGAAAGTAGCCATTGACATCCAGACGGTGTACAGAGTGACCATGTTCTCCTCTACAAGGCATTAGCATCTTAGTTGCAGAGATATTCAACATCCTTAGTCCAAATATATGCCATTTGTTTGGTTGTTTTTGAATACTTCTCATACATTTCCACTATTTCCACTCCTACCTTTCTGTTGCCAGTTTCCATCCCAATCAATTAATTTTCTGAAAAAATCTGAAAGGATGTCTGGGAAAAAAATTCCCCAAATTGAACGTAAAAATGTATTCTAATAAAATACAAAGAAAGTGACCAATCTGATTAATTCTAGCCTGTTGCTATGCTCTTTTCTGCTTCGTCCGAAACAAAGCTTTTCCCTGCCCACTGCGACAGATGAGCCAGAATTTCCCGCCTGCAGGTCGCTGCTACTATTTATAGACGGGTTTCTACCTCATGATGCTGACCCCAGACCAGCCCACAGAGAAACATCCCTGCTCAACAATCTGGGTTAAGATTAATCTGCCAGCGTTTACAGCACGATAAAACCTTGTCTGCGACCATGGGATCAGTGATGGAGGCTCCTGCGTGGTGGAGAGAATTAAATCAGACATTTCTGCGTTGGCTGGTTGCGGGTGACAGCTTCGGGGGAACGTGAGCACAGAGCACGTGACCGAGACTCCAGGGGAGTCAGGATGGTAAAGGTGGAGGAGGGGTAGATATGTGACCGGCATGATGATTAGACACTCTAACATAACGTGAACATACATTGGTTTTCATAGTAAGCCTTTTCTCTTGACTGGTTGTTGATTTCTCTGTATTATTATACATATTCTTTGCACATGCATAGGCCTGCTAATGCACACAGGGGCTGTGCAGGCAGTGGTGTGACGGGGCGGAGCAGTGTGGATGGATGAGCTACACACTGGGGGAGAGGAGCAAAAGGCTTCACAAACCGAGGACCGGAGGATGTTCTAATGTCAAACTGAGTTAACAGCGCATGTGTGTGCTCATGTACTGTATGTGTGCACAGTGCTAGCATTGGTGCAGCGATGGTAAATGGAGCATCATGACCTTGAAAGCCTTGACATTGAGTTTCATCTGATTTTGATTCAATGCACATTGCTCTGTGGATGTATGCAGCAGAGCTTCAGAGTCATATCCTGCACTGGGAAGAATACATACAGGACAGTCGGTGTAGATCTTGGTTTGATTTAGGTTTTTCCTTTGCATGAAACACAGGGTCCAATCTGGATTTTGTGGATTGGAGAGTGATTTTTTAATATTAAGGCCTGCTTTTAAGTAACTATAGATAACTTTTGAAATAAGATAAAACACTTCTGCTGTGGTTTTGCTTTAGAAGCTTCACTAAGACCGCAATGACTAGTAACAAAGAGCACCATGTTGCTTTAAACTTAAACCCTGAACAATTGGAACTAAAGTATTTAAAAACTACAGCTAAATAAGTAACATTTAAAGATAAAACAATAGTTAATAAATCGTGATTGAGAAGACTTGAGTGCATTTCACTAGAAAAACGAATACAAATACAAAAGCCAACATTACCCCCAGTGTCCCCCTCTAAAGAACAGGTGCACTTGGTCTAGAGTTACATATTTGCAAACCAGCTTGCAGAGATTTCCCACAGGTTACTTGTCGTAGATCCACGCAGGATGTACCAATTGCACTTAAAAGCACCGTTCTCGAAGAACTTTCATTCAATCTGCACTTAGACAGATAAATCCAATACACGGGAGGTATTTCTTCACCATTCATCCACCACCTCTCAACACCTGATTCACTCCTCAGGCTGCTACACGTGCGCTCCGTGTTCCCAGCACTCTTTCTAATGAGTTGCATGCCTCACATTGTTACACAGCGCCTGAGGAGGATCGAGTGATTGACCTGAACAAAGCCTGTGTGTCCTCCAGATCGACAGGCAGCCACCGCCCTGGTTTTAAACACAACTGGTGACCACTGATGAAAATAACCAACTAATGTGGGAAAGCAAAAAAAAAACACCAGTGTTCCCTGCACATACTTGGTGATAAGCACAACAAGATACTCAATATGTATGTATTGTTCCTGACCTGACATTGAACAAAAGATGAGAAACTTCTGTAATCCCATACCTGATATCTTGTTGTGTAACTTTAACTGATAGAGTCCTATAAATAAACCCAGCCAACAGTGAAAGTGACCTGAAATGTGTGCTTGAACTCAACGCCCCAAATACAGCACTCACCCCCCCCCACATCGCACAATGACATTCCTAAATCTCCTCTGCAATGTGCCCCACTTTCCGTCTGACCTCTGGCTTTCACCTTTTACAGCACTATCCCAAAGTGATAGCGCAGTCATAGTCGGTTCACATGAGCGAGTGTAATTCAGCTTGTCGTAGCAGAGAACAGCCCGGAGCTACTGCAGTGACAATCAACAGGGGGCCGACTTTGATAGATGTTGTTGGTGTGATTTTAGGAATTGTCAGAGGCTACTTAACGACCATCACGGCATTCACATATATCTTGTGGCTCTAAAGGAAGATTCAAGTCTAGAGGAACAACCCTGACGACATCAAGTTGAGACTTGAGGGTTAGATCATTTTAAGATAGCCTGCAATAAAAAGTAGAGTTTTGAAATATAAAAGAAGGAAGTGAGGGTCTACCTGAGGTCATAGATATTGTTACGTGGCTCACAGTCTTGAGCACATCTTGGGCTTGGATATAAAACTATCCAAAGAAAGTTCAAAAGATGATTAGCTCTGTTAGAAAATATCTGATTCTTTGATTTGAAATAAGTCTGTGCACATACAAATGTGATGTGAGACTCCGTAAGTGTATTGCAGCACGAAAGATAGACTCACACAGCGTAACATTTTGATAATGGCATCCATAAGCTAAAGATTATGATGTGGGGGAAAACTGATTTTAGTAAATGACATGTCCAGGTCCATTTTCATTTCATTTCATTCCTGTACGCCTCGCTGTGCATATTATCTATCGAGTGATCTCCACTTTGTGTCAACGTCAGATTTCTCTCAGAGCTTATGTTCCATTTTTTTGGCCAATATAAATCACCTATGTTTTCTCACACGCTCCTCTCCAGGATCTGTGTACATTAACACATCACTCTCAGGGAAGCAGGCTTTCACTACAGCGCGGATGATGAATGCTTACATTTCTATACTGTAAAAATTGGGCCAGAGTTTGGTGTACTCATACATCATATCAGATGTAGCAAACAGTCTCCACAGTGCACACAGAAAATAGCTAAGCAGTTGGCGTTTCATGTGAAATCCATGAGACTGAGTTTTAATGTAAATCTATCTACTGTAATTCTGCTTTATTGGACTTGTCCAAAGAGCTAGAGTGATTCTATAGCTTGTAGCTAGCTAACAGGGAAGATGGATGATCAGCTGCTGTACAAATCCTGCGATTGGGTGGCAGCTTTTGTTGTCATGGTTTTCCTCCCTACAGATGGCCATGGTTACCCTGGCAATGGCAGCGGGATCAGCGTCGGTAGCATCACAGGGAAGAATATGCTAAGCACTCTGAATACATCTGCATCATCACACTTTAACCATGTCGGACACAGGTAAAGAAAGAAAGAAGGAGGGTATGAAGTGTGATCACCGCCCTGCAAAAAAGGCAAGGGGGGACTTGGGTTGTAAACTAGCAGGTCATAGAAACTTCCTGAATGTCTTAAAATGACAAAGACCAGAAAAAAGCGATGTGATAACATGCCCAAACCAAATCGCATGTATTTGGGTTTTGATTGTCTGTATCTCCCTGAGAGATCACCAGGGTTAGTGCAGTGTGTATAAGCTCCTCGCTTGCCCCACAATGACAGTCCCATCTGTCAGCCAGCCTCCCCGGACCTTTGCATGCACATCAGCACAACTGCTCCTCTCTGCAGCCGAAGTAAAGCCTTTCAACTATACATGTATTCAAATAAGGCAGATCGTAAAACAGTAAGATCACACGCAAGCTTTTTCTAACATTTTCTGTTTCCAGTTTCTACTATTTCATCTCAAAATCACAACAAAAGTGCAACCAAATCTGACAAAAACGTTGACAAACTCAACCAATCAATTAGTGGTGGCAGCCAATTCCAATATTAGCTACAGTAAAGTCAATGAAATGCTCACAAACTTACAACTGCAATCCTTTGAAATCAAATGACGCAACCTACCTGATTAATAAATCCTGCACTGTGGTCCACTGAGAGCATGGTGTGACTCCTGTTAGGATGCCCGCTAACTCCCCTTGTGCTTGCGGCAATGGAAAGACGAGAGGCTAAGGCTCAGGGCCCGAGCCCCACTGTGGACTCAGAGTGTGTGTTTGTAATGTGTATGAAAGTCAGAGAGAACAGCAGACACCGATAGTCTGTCAGTCGGACCTTCTCCTCTCCTCAGATGCTCTCCTTAGCTTCTCTTCCCATGTTGGAAAACGGCAGCGACCTTCGAAAGCCCCACGAACACAACATGAAAACAAAAGCAGGGAGCTCAGCACTGCTCTGCCTCTGTCTCTTTCTCTCTGCCTCTCACAGCTTTCATCCAGGGTAGCATCAAATGTTTCTGACAAGCGTCCATCCGCCAATCCCCCCAGAGAGATTAGTGCTCTGACATCACCGATGCTGTTCTGCTCTGCTGAGCCTTCAAGCTCTGTAGCTCTGTTACCTAAGTCTTAGGTCGCAGTGAGTCAAACAGCAGCATCCTGTACGAGGGGCTCCCCACAGCCCAAAGGACACCCCACATCTACATGTGCCATGGTCACTGCACACCTCACGTAGAAAAATAGGTAAGTGGAGTTGGCGTTGCAGGCTAACTGTATACAGTGTGTGCATCCTAATGTGTGTGTGTGTGTGTGTGTGCACAACCTACCTGAGGCAAAGAGGCTGCTCTCTGGCTGCAGTGCATTGTCAGCAAAAATGTGATCGAGGCATGGTGTTCTAGAAACCGATCCGGAGGAACAAGCAACTATTTCTGCTGCCCCGCCTGACACCTGTTAAATCCTGTTACTGCTGTCTCTGTGTCATCGGATATTTCTTTTCAGAAGCAAAGAAGACGCGCGGAAGATGTTCAGAGAAATAACACTATAAACACAATGTGATCTGCCTCCCTCCTCATTTTAGCATCTGTCTCTTACGTTCCACACCCAGCTCTGTACTGCCTCTACCTAGCTCCATGCCTTCCTCGCCTTCCTCCCCGCTGACTCTGCTATAATTAACCATGGAAAGGAGCACAGCCGGTCAAGGCTCCTATCTGTGGTGGGGAGGCTTCCTCCCTGCCAGTTTTGCACAGTTAGATCACTAAACCAAGAACACCAAGCCCAAAAGAGCAGAACGGGCAACCCCAGCACACTTCCTCCGTCTGTTCTAAAGGATCTTCTCCAATCCGGCCAATCAACCAGCCCCTAACTGGACCTCCTGGCAGAGACACCGAGGTTACATCAGGGCTGTAATTAGGACCACAACACTCAAGTCTAAACCCAATCCAGAACCAGGACCACTCAGGTCAAGAAGCAGGGTTCCAGAGCCTATGAAACGCTTTAGGTGCAACCAATTCAAAAAGTTGTTGACACGATTTCAAACAAGGTTCCAATCACCAAGCTTCAGTTCCGCTATAAGTCCAACCAGGTGCAACATCGTAAAGAATTGTATTGTGAGTTTACAACATTAGTTAGAAGTACACTTCAGCCTCTTTTGGCCAAAACGACTATTACAACAACAAACATGATCCTGATAGAAAACAATATAGTTTAGACTTGGATTAAAAGGGATCATTAGAAGAAAAAATAATTGCTTCTGTAATACTTCCCTCACAGAAATATGGATTTGTCAATAAGCAGCTTTGTGTCCTTCAAAACGTTATTGTTCTTAATACAGTTTAAATGTACTAAACTTTGCAAATTCCACCACTATAAACACATTATGAAGCTAGGAGATTAATCAAATAAAAGCTTGAAAAGTCTGTTCCTTTGATGTCAAAGAATATGTTCAGATTTATTCAAACGTGATATTTTAAAAACATGTTATAGTGATTCAACAACAGGTGGCAAATATAAATGCATAGTCGCAAAAATGTAGCAAATTAAAAGTACCAGAAAGGAAAGATAAAGTGGTAAATGGAGGATTCACAGTCTAGCCACAGGCAGATACTTTGTGCCCACTCTTGTCCTCAGTTTGGCTCACAGCCCTCAGTTGCATAAGCAATATTCAGTCAGAACAAATGACATGCATGGATCAAGCTCTTCACCTTGACTGGCTCAATTATCTGCTTACACTCATTTCCTGTGAGCTCTTAAAAGGAATTGCGCTCTGTTTTTATTTATTTACCCAGCGTGTCCTCAGCCTTGCGTGGCTGCCAGATGCATAGTGACATGTGTGACAATTGTGATCTAAAAATACACAACATCTGCTAAACAAGAAGGCTAATGACAGATATAAAGCAGACACAGCTGTGCAATATTACTGTAGATTACAGATGACAGGAAATATGGATTAACAGCAAAGTGTGATCATATTACAGCCAGTAAGTAAAAATACTCCCTTACAAGGTTCATTCCTGCATTCAAATTCCTACCCAATTTAATATTAAAACTACTCATTATGCTTATATCGTATTAATGCTTGGGACTGAGCTAGGTTTACCTGCCTTAGACAGGCTTTGGTTAGGTAGTAGTGTCTAAGTCAGTTACTTTAAAGAAGACATCATGCTTATTTTCAAGTATGTATGTTTTGGGTTTTCAATAGAATGTGTTTACATGCTTGCCTGTGTTCACCCTCTGCCTGAAAGGCTCTGTTTCAGCGCCTGACTCTTTAACCCCCGATATGGAACAGCCAGGTCCGCTTTGATTGGTCATTGTGTCCGTGTCCTTCCCATACATCATCCTATATATTATAGTTGTGAAATCTCAACTTGTAATTGTGTCACCTGACAAATGTAAGTCTGTTATCCTGGCTCTATTTCACCACTGGACTTTTAAAAACTCTTTTCAGGCTTGCTAGTTCAGTCTTTGGGACCTGACCTGCTTTTATTCTTGCCTTGCCCTTTATATGTCCCAATTATTTTGTTAATCTATTGATTTTCTGAGTGTATCACAACCTAGTCTTTAACAAGTATTGAATTGAGTTATCACTCTTATTACTGAGCAAATCAATGTCATGTTTGTCATTCCATATGAAGAGAATGAGAGATGTACTCACCACATCTGTACTTCCTTGGGAACTTGGTTCCTGCAAGTCAAAGGACAGGGAGATATAAGTCCAAATGACAAAACAAGGGCATGTAAATAAATTACTGCCATGCAAGACCCTCATGTAAAATATGTAATGAGCAGTGAGGCATTCACAACAGTCTTTCCTGCTGTGAATCAAACATACTCTCATGGTTGACCTTGGGAACCTGTTAGAATATGCTAACCGTGTTTTGTATTGACATGTCCCTCAACTTAAAACCTCACATACCCATACACATCCCGGTGAAACCATGACAACGCATCCGCTTGCTGCGTAGGCACAGGGAAAGCAGCAATGAGTTACAACTACAGTGAGGCAATCACACTGCATCGAGACTGCAGGGGAAACAGAAGAGCCCCCCCATCAAACACCACATCAGCCCCGTCAGGCTTCACTGTTCGCTGTAAGCTCTGGAAAACAGAGTCCTCATATCACGGTTACAAATAGAACCAACAGGCAGAGTATTGATTTGCCTCTAGAGCAAACGCTGCTTAAAACATTGTGATCAAAAAGAAATATATTTCATCTCTCTTTGGTATTTTCCTCCACCACAGCACAGCCTCACCTGAATGCTAATGAGGTGAGGTTGACCGCGGATGTAGGCTCTGTTTTTCAGTGGCTCTTATGTGAGGCATGCTGGAACTGACATGCACACATCCAACCTCTTTGTTCCCTGCTTTACTCCACCAACATGTGGGGGTGCTTGAGTGGCAAATAGGTGGATGGATGGTTATGGTTACAGGAGAAATAAGGAATACATGTGAAATAACTACTTTTATGAATTTCAGTTTTGCATGCAACTGATGAGGAATAAATCTCCCTTTTTTTCACCCAACACTCCTCTCTTAGTGTAACATCAAAGACCTGCAGAACATAAAGCAACAGCTTGATAGCAGGTTCTTTAACAGAATAGAAACTGGGTCCATTTCATGGTATATTGATATATTAAAGGAGCCTTTCCATGCAGGCATTAGGGTACACATGCATAACTGTAGCTGCTTTGTAACATAGTATCAACCTGTAATGCCTTTTCTGTGAAGGTCTAGGCGTTTGTAGTGATATATTTGCCCAATATGAATTGTACACGGTGAAAATATCAATTCTGTAAATTTGTCAAATGTGTAATGCGCAGCATCCATGTTTGTCACGATATCCACGAGACACCACTCAAAATATGGGTCATTTTTAACACAGAAGTATTGAATATGAATCATAAATTAAAGGGTAGCATAATCCTAACAGCGTCTGACTTATTCTAAAGAGAAAGAACACAGCAGTCCATTCAGCTTTGTTGTATATTCAAATATGTAAATGAACATAAACAACAACGTGTCTTACCGTGGGTAAGAGCGGCTCCATTTGAGCTCCTTGGTCCGTGATGTCCATATTTTCCTCTCCTTTGCTTCACAAGAGGCAGGTCGTGATGCTCAGTCGAAACGCTGCTTGAATTCGTCTTTTGGTGTTTTCCCCCCTCACATTCACCGGCCGGGTTTTCTCAAATGGAGGTAGCACAGCATTCCCGTCCTGCCCTACATAATTTACGCATGAAGGAGGGAGGCAGTGCTTCCTATTACACGCGTTCAAGCCGGGGTGCGGAGATGAGGCGCACAAGTGAGAAGCTGTGCGAATACCTTTATTCAGGAACTCATCTGTGAGGACTATTCCTCCTTAAATGTGGGGATATATCCACACAAACATGCATATGTTGATATCTAGTCTTCACATTCCAGATATCTTGTAACAGAGTCAAGAGGGGCACCTATCATTCAATCTCAATGGGGAAATGGATATCCCGATTCTATCATAATCTAAACATTTCTATGGGATATATTTGATCATGAATACTATTTCGAAGGCAATAACAATCATGATGCAATGCCTTCTTCGTGTAGGCAGTGCGCTTTGTTGCCCATGTGGATTTTGTCTCAGCCTGCGCAACACAGGCTCTTTGTTAGAACAGCACGAGGCATAATTATGATCTGAACCCGCTTCTGATATAAATACATATTATATGATAGTGTATCATATATCATTCAAACAACAGAAGCACCGGCAGCAGTAATGCATTAGCCATCCTGTTATTATGTGTAGCTGCAGCACGCGATGATGCACGGGCAGCAGCATCAATATCACATAAGAGATGCTGCTGCAGGGAGCTTTATACAGTAGCGCTCCCCGGTGGTGGAACACACGAAGCGTCAATAACAATCAATAAGCACTGCTGCATTGCTAATTGCATTGATTGATTTACTCACAATGCAATTGTATCATGTCAATTTGGTTTGGCAGTGCTATCACATCAATTTCAGTATTACAAAATACTGTGATGTAAGATGTTTTTTTAATAAAGTACCTTTTCAAGGCAGGAAAAGTGGATTTTAGTACGATTACAGGTAAGTCAATGGCAGTGATTCAAAAGATGTGGCACATGTCCCTGACAGGCTTTCAAGGGCTCCGTTAGAAATATGTTTTTAACAAGTAGTTCTTAATTTAATTAATTAGCCTAATATGATTTGCTCAGGACCTCAGGTCCAAATGATGAGTAACCAACTGGAGTTTTCTCAGGGGGGATGCTGAGGTACACTGCCATGACAAAGCGTGTTATTAATGGATCCCTTTAAATAACTGACTCGAAACTTTTTGGGTCCATCCATCTGGCATCAGCACCAGCGTCAGGATGTTGTTGTTGATCCGGATCCGGATCCGCCCAGCCAGGCGTCACAGCACCGACAAGATGGCCGAGAGTACGGGACGAAAGTGAGGGAGGAAACAAAAACACAGGCAAGCTAACGTTGCCGCAGATGCCAGACCTGTAGATCTACAAGTTAGTGCAGAGATTAAAGCAGGCACATCGCTTCATTCAAGCCTCCGTCCTGTGGGTGTCAGCTGCAGTATGCGGACACATCGCGCTCCGAGCCTGCTCGCGGACGGAACGTTTGCCAGTTTGTCTGCGTTCGCTAGCTAGCTAGCGGGCTAACCATGTTAGCTAGCTGACAACACCGTTAGCGAGAGAAAACGCTTTTAGAAAGTGTCAGTTACCTTATTGGAAATATATAGTAGCTTCTACTTGTTAGTTTCCGAAAAATTCAAATTTCTTATAGTGGCATTACCTTCCCTGGGTGGGAAACTAAATGAACGCTTACCCAGCAGGTTAGCAAACTAACATTGCGGATTTCTGGATTGCAGCTTCAGCTTTAGCATTAGCAAACGTCTGTTAGCTTGCTCAGCTGTTTTGGATGATTTGGGTTATTACGACACAGGAAAGGTACCCCAGCGTGTGTGGAGGGACATTTTTCTTTATATATTGAAGTACCTGAGCTGCTCTCAGTCGGCCTGTTCGACAAGGTGTCTTGGAGGAGTGCTAACGTGAAAGGTACCAGAGCCAGGACTGTAAACACAAGTGAGCCGAGGAGGAGCTCTCTATCCTGCGGACGAGGCAGCATCACCATGGCCCACTCTCCTGTCCAGGGGAACCTGCCGGGGATGCAGGTAAGATGTTTGAGTTAACTCCGCATTAAGAAGTTAAGGTCACTGGCAGAACAAAATGTACCCCGACTCCCTGCTGTGTGTTTGAGCAATGCACACTCATTAAACTGTGCGACTGTGCCCATCTCAGGTACACCTCGTAAATGTCACTCTCTCGAGGTCGGAATGTTTCGAGATAATGTTGCAATTTTGAATAAAACAGTCAACTTCCGCACATACTTTTCGATTATTGTTTTTTTTCCTTTAGAGTAGATGTTTTGGTCACCATGACCTTTTTCAGGACATATCAACCCTATCAAACAGTGACACACTGCTTATATACGCGTAATTATTACATGCTAGTCCACAGCTGTGATGGAGGCGTGTCAGTGATCACACAAAACAACCACCCACTGAAAGCTCATTGAACTAAACATACGTGTATAGGTTGATACAAATGTACAGTCCTTTTTAAAGTTAATAGTATTAAAATATTACATTTATCTTTAAACACACAGTGAACAAGGCCTTTCCGTCACATATGGTTTAACAATGTAAAAACAAAACATATATACACCAGAACACATTTTCTAGGTAGAAAAATCGTGCATTTATATATGCATTTATAGTATTTAATTAAACAAGTAAAGATAAAAGTAGACCCAAGTGAATTATGATGCACCAAGCTGTTATTTATTAATGATGCAATAGGAATGAAATAGAGGAAATTCATGACAGCCTTGCTAAAATGTATAAAATAACAACCTGAACATAGGTCCATCATAGAAACTAAAATGTGTCTGGGACGTTTGCTTTGCAGAGAGATTATTTACATCTCTGCAATGTCGTCATTGTCTATTTTTTTTTGCCTCAGAACGATACGCATTAAATGCTTAATTCCCATATTTCAGCCTTGACTTGAAAACGACAGATCCCCCTGGGTCTTTGTACAAAGAAACTATTATGCACACATGAGCCCTGTTCTTGCCTCTGCTGCTATCTTTAGGATTTTGCCTATAGGGGATAATTGTGTTGAGTAGATAACTAGAGGAGATAACTGTTCCTAATGTGCCTCATGCACCAGATTATATTCCCTGTGCAAGCGTGTTAGCAGATTTCTCTGCTTTTGGAAGGAAATGCATGCCGACTCAGAATCTGGGGGAGGATGCATCCGAGGCAGACACACTGCTGGGTTTTTGGCACAAATGAATAGTCTGTTTAGAACATTGCTTTTCGGCCAGTCAGGGGAAGCTTGTTACGGATTGTTTTTAAGATGCAGAAAAAGGCAATCAGTACATTTTCAGGGTTTGAATCCACGAGCGTCAGTTGTACATCTCGCAGTAAAAATCAGATTGTGACTTAAAGCTCTCATTCCATTTAAAAGCCATTTTATAGGGCTGCAAAATTAATCAGAATTGTATACTTATCACAATACGGACTTGTGCAATTACTCGATGGCAGGAAGCACAACTTTTAAGTTTATATATGTGTTAAAAATACATTTTGAATGAAGTATTGTGGACCTGCAGAGCTATCCCAGCCTACAAATCACATTCTACTGACTTAAACTATATAAGATTGTTACACATTGTCTTAAAAATTCAGACATATATCATATATAATAGGTGAGAAGAATGATACGAAAATGACAAATTCCTCATCTATCAATATTGTGCAGCCCTATCCTGTTCCCTAATAAGCATGTTGTTGTTTTAATAAAATATGATTCATCACTTTATCTTTACCACACTTTCCATTAGCGGAATCACTGTTTAATTTATTGAATACATCTCTTTCATAAAGCCAGCATGATCTTCATTAGTGGAATAAGGATTCCTCTTGTGTAAGGCAGCTGTTTCATTTTTATCTATCTCAAAAGAGCACATTGACCCTTTCTCTGCTCAGAAGAGGCCGTACAAAAGCAAGTTGTTTTTGTCAGCGCCTGCTCCTGCGCTTCCCAAATAACTGCCTCTGGAGAGTTAAGTCATCTGAGTTCACTTCCTGCTGTGTTCAAGTAGGCTTTTTTTTTAAGTCCACGCTTCCCAGGAAAGTTGGAATTTGGATTTGTCACTGAACACATTTGTAGCTTTTACCCTGACTAATAAACACTTCAAAGGTCCATCTAAGCCTTTTTTGGGTCTGGCCACTCTAATACACTTATAATTCATATAACAGGATTTGATTTGTGTCCGTATGACCTCAAGAGGAGTTATAATTAAGTGTCAATGTGCCTACAGTCATTTTGGCGGTAACAGTAATATGACGTCACCATCTTCAGCACAGTCTTATGAGCAAAATAGGGCCACGTGCTTACATTTTCAAAACAAATCCAGGGGTAGACATTAAGGGTAAAATGCCACTGGCCCTCCGGGCCGGTGGAATTGTATTGTCACTGGCCCCACCATTGTAACCACTGGCCCGGAGCATTCGTCCAAAAAAAACCGACTTATAATGAAAAAAATTAACACATTCGTTGCAATAGTAATTTATGCACTAACTACATTACTACTTGTACTACAACATTTGAATCATCAGTTCTTCCTCATTTTCCTCAATTGTTCATATTTGGTTTATTAAAATAATGATATTGTGGTCATTGTTAAAATAATTCTGCTATTATTATGAGTATTATTATTTGTATAATGCACTTTCTGCCTTCCTGTCATTAGGAGTTAGACATGTAATGGCTATGTAACGCCAAACGTCACAAAAACTAAGGAGCTAGTGGTTGACTTCAGGAAGCGGAGTACCGCCCCAAGCCCAATTACCATCGTGGGCATGGATGTGTACATTGTGGACAGCTACAAGTTCCTGGGCGTCCACATAGACAATAAACTGGACTGGAGTAAAAACACTGAGGCCCTATATAAGAAAGGCCAGAGTCGCCTGTATTTCCTCAGGAGACTCAGGTCCTTTAACGTCTGCAGCACTATGTTGCAGATGTTTTATGACTCGGTGGTCTCCAGTGTGATCTTCTTTGCTGTAGTGTGTTGGGGCAGCGGGGTGAAGACAGCTGATGCCAACAGACTCAACAAGCTTATCAGGAGAGCAGGCTCTGTCCTGGGAGTGGATCAGGAGTCGTTGGCAGTGGTGTCGGAGGGGAGAATGCTGAGGAAACTTCTCAGCATTCTGGACAACGGGTCTCACCCCCTGCATGCCACACTGGTTTCCTACCGGAGCACTTTCAGCCTCAGACTGAGATCACCCATAACCACCACACAGCGCCACAGGAGGTCTTTCCTCCCAGTGGCAATCAAACTCTTTAACTCTTCACCCCTAAGTAAAGGGCACTGAGAACTTCCACACCAACACTATGTGCAATATACATATCAATATAATTAACATCATTGCAATACACTCGCTGCTATATATATATATATATATAACTATGTGCAATATTATATTATTATTATTAGTATTATTAATAATGCTATGATGACGTGCAATTACGTAACTGCCACTACGTTTTAATTTTTGCACTACTAACAACTAAATACTGCTAATAATAATTGCATTGATTGTGGGACTTTCTATGTTTCTACGTTTCATGTTGTCTGTGGATGTTTAATTGCTCTTTTTGCTGCACTTTTAGTGTACAGTTTTCCTTTGGGATGAATAAAGTCTTATCTTATCTTATCTTTTTTTCTGTTAGCGGAAGAAATACGATCATTTTAAGTCAATAAAATCATTTCAATTAATATTGGGAGTCGATTCCTTAGTTTGTTTAGTATCTGGCCGTTCAATAAGCGGGATAAGGTGCAGCGACTTGGTCATTATGGGGAAAAGAACACCGTTCAGGCTCATCAAGATCAGCCTCACTGATTACGTAAACACCAGAATAACTAATCTACCCCCAAGGTTTCTCTTCTGTCGGAATGTCTCGCGATGTTTGTGAATTCTTAAAAAACAAAACACCATTTCATTTCGGGTTAAAATGAGTTGCACCGGCGTTACTGAGAATTGTAACGGGTAATATATTAACCACATTTCATTAGTAATGCGTTACATTACTTCGTTACAGCAAAAAGTAATACATCACCCAACACTGTTCCTGATTAATAATACTATTTTATTTCAGACTATGACAGTGTGTTATTGCTCCAGAGGGCCTGTAGGCGGTGTCAAGGTCAGAATCATCAGAGCCGATGAGGACCACCTTCCTCACCTGTATTTAAGAGATACACGCTCTCCCTTTCTTTGTCACCATGCCTCATACTGGGGACAGTCCACATTGCTATCATCTGGTTTGGTTCATTTCTTTAATAACTGGCAACTTGTGTGTGACCTTCCTCCTTTTGTTACATGAAGAGGCTAATTTGATCCCAAGATATGCATTTCTGTCTCTAATTTGGACACTTTTGTTCCTCAGTGTAATGTAACACATGCAAGGCTTCTGTAGGACTCACCTGACTCACAGGTAGCTCCTCTCCAGCCGGGGGGGCAGGAGCACTGACCACTGACGCTATCACAGGAGCCTCCGTTTCCACACAGACACTGACCAGAGCATTGTTCACCGTAATACCCTGCAGGACAGGCTACACACACACACACACACACACACACACACACACACACACACACACACACTAGTTTGATTGAACACTTCAGCGTGCTTTGTAACATGGAAAGTTGTGATTTAAAGTGATTTGCTGCTAAAATATCAAACCCGCTGGTATTG